ATTTCATAGTAACAAAGAAGTCTTGGTTTCATTAACAACATGACTCTTCGTTTTGTTAGCTGTACTCCTTTAATCCGCACGATAATAACGCTCAGAAAGAAACTCATTGACAAAGGGTAGTGTTCGTTCTAGCAAAGACCTGTTTCGATTTACCCTTTGGCACATAAACCACCACGAGGCAGCATTCTATAATACTTTCTGTAGCGAGCTGCGGCTTTACGCACGCTCCGGCGCACCAAAACACTTTGGTATCGCGTTACACGCCTCGAGATCATAATACGAGTTATAGAGGAGTAAAGTGTGCTTTCCCCCTTCTCGATCGTGAACCATTCGAACACCGTGTATTGCTTCGGGGCGGACAATGTCTGCTTGGCACGAGCGAGCGAACGAACGCCGGGCAAAAGCGACCCTCCGAGCAAAACCGTCCATCCACCCAACTATCCATTCTACATCCATCCATCTATCCATCCAACCAGTCAGCCATTCATCCAACAGACCATCCAGCTACCGGTACGATGCCGTCTCTCTCTTTCCCCATAATACTCCCGTAGGCTATTCGAATCAAACGGTCGATTCACAAGAGTACTTTATTTTCTACGTCGCTACAAGATTTGTTAATGATTATGGTTGTCTCATAACGCCGTCACTTCGTCTCCCACAAATACGTCGAAATTATTCTTCGTTGCGAATGGATACGTTTCTAGAATCGTTCATTTAAGATAAGAACGATGATATTTCTTTTTCTTTTTTTCAAAAATCTTTTTCATTATTTTTATTAAACATATTGTCGTATCGTATGTTGTATCAAATCGAAACGAGAAGGTTTTAAGAGATTTAATATTCGAACAAAGTCTCGAATTGATAATGATATGAAACAAGAAGTAGAATTAAAAAAGATGTTTCGTCAAAGGTAATCGAAATTATCATTGTAACGATAAAGTCAATTTGTCAAATAATTATCGTTTATCTACTCAACCAACAATTTCTTCTCTTTTATGAAAGTATATTGTTCGGTTAGATAATTTTCTTGGATTTTTATTTCGCCGTAAACGATGTCGTTCGATTCTAAGGTCATGCTACTATATTTGCTTCTTTTCCCTTTGGCTGAGTCCCTGACGTCTATTATCTTTACGCTTTTGTACCTTTTGTCCTGTTACGAGGACGACAACGAACGTACTCGTATCTCCGGACGTGAACCGGTCTCTCTCTGTCTTTTTCTTTTTTCTCTTTTTCTCTTTTTCTCTTTTTTTGGCTCTTCCTCACATTCTGTATAGAAAGAAAAAAGAAAGAGTTGCGGTCAGCCGAATTCATGGCGGGCCCGTCACACCGAGACACTCCGGTTTATTGTCAAGTTGGGCGGGGGTGTGAAGGGGGATAAGGGCTGGGAAAAGTGGCGAAATGCCACTACTCATATTTCTGCTCGAGTACAAATTCTTACGGTTTGCTCTGTGGTCGTATATTTGTTAACCTCAAGTTTTATACCTTTTAATTGCTCTCGAGCTCGATTTACACCAAGGAAGGATTACATATTGTCTTACGAATCGAAAAACAACAACTCTATATTTTTATATCCATCGTTTGATACCTTACATATAATATATGCTTTAACAAATAATTCTCTTCGAAATTCGTTTACGAATCGTGAAATAATTTTAAAAACTAATGACACATTTTCTTAACTTTGTTTTCTTAGCCGATATTAAATAATTCCCATAATTGTTTACGATAAAATCGAGAAAATAATTATCTTTCTTTCTTTTATACTCAGTTTGAATATTTCCTAATACGTGTGAATTTTATCGGACTCGAAAGAAGAAAAGAAAAAAAAAAGAAAAGAGGAAAAGAAAAAAAGAAAAAGTGGACGCAAGAAGGGACAGACATGTTCCATAAACTTTGCAATTTATGTGCGAAAAAGGGGGACAAAGTTCCAAGATTCGCGCGATAATGAGTTGTACGACGACATTGGTGTGTAGTAGCTGTTCTCGCTAATTCAAACGCTACCTCCTAACATCGTATGTAATGAATTCAACTCTCGAAAACTAAAGAGAGAGAGAGAAGGTATCTCACTCTTACCACGATTCAACTCATTAGAGAATGTAAGCCCTCAGCAACATATTTGATGTCACCCCTGTCGTGAGATCTGTAGAAAGAGACCGAGAGATGACAAGAAAGAGAAAGAGAGAGAGAGAGAGAGAGAGAGAGAGAAGGGGAGAGAGAGAAACCGAGCTGAAACCGAGCTGAAACGAAATTTACGAGTTTATCTTGAAACACTTTGGAAGTGAGATATGTTTTCAACCCTTCTCCTCAGGAAAATGAGAGATGTACGCGATGACGTGATAATAATACTCGGAGATATTTCAACGATGTGTAAATAAGTACGATTTTTTTAGCACCGTCAATGAGCGACATTATGCAACGATCAAAGTCTCCCTTTTTTTCACTGATTTTCCGTGGAAAGTGAGAAATCGACGATATAATTGATGACATTATTTAATCTTTCCACTTAATAAGATAGAGACTCGAGATTATCTACATGCTCGTAACTATTTGATCGCGTGTTGTTAATAGCGTGACGATATAAATCGTTTCGTGTAATTACGTTTTCAATAACGTGGCGTCATTTTCTCGATAGTTCTGTTATGTTTTTAAAAATTTTATACACCTTTATACGACTTTGTTTGATATTTCTTTTTATAAGAAAATAAAAAGGGAGATTGAGAGAAAGAGAAAGAGAAAGAGAAAGAGAGAGAGATATATATATATAAATAACGATAATCCACAAATTTGAATATATTTGAATAAATTTGTTAACACTTTCAAAATGATTGCTTCAAACTTTCTCGATATCACGAGTATTCTGATAGAAACTCGTAACAAGTAATGTGACTCACCATGGATATCAAAGTCAACCTTCTTCGTCCTTTAAATTCTTCGCTTTCCGAAAGAGAAAATCGAAAGGTTTGAGTTCCTCTTTCTCAGCGAAGGGACTTTCTCTTTTGATCTTTCTTTTTGCACGTGAAAGGAACGAAAAGAGGATGAAAGAAAGGAAGAAAAAAGAAAAAGAAGGAAGGGTGTCCGAAGGACAGAGAAGTTGCCCGAGCCGTTTAACGAGGAACGGAGACGATTCTTGGCTCTCGTAGGGAAAGTAGGCGGTAGCTGGCTAAAGTGGTGGTAGTGTGGAGAAAGGAAGGAAGGAAGGAAGGATGAGTAGAATGAGTAGGAGGAGATGGAGGAGAGAGTAGTGGAGGTGGTAGTGGAAGGGTGCCGCGACGTCGTGCGCCAGTAGGAAGGGATTTAATCTGTGCTCCGTTTCACGCTTAGCCAAGTGGAACCTTTTTGCCTCACTTTGCGGCATGACTCGCTTTTGCGCTGGTCGTCGCGTAGATTAACGCGAAATTATATATAAAGAATGTGTGCGGAGTTAGCGTGTGTGTGCGCGCGCGCACATCGTGTTCGCGAATCGCCGGTGTTGCTTGGACGATTCACCCTGCCTGCTGTGCCAATATACGAGAGTGAGAGAGAAAGAGAGGAAAAGAGAGAGAGACAGAGAGAGACAGAGAGAGAGAGAGAGAGAGAGAGAGAGAGCAGGAGAGAAAGGATGTTGTAAGAGGGAGAAGGTAGTATGCACTTTGTGCGTTCACCTCATGTGCAACTTCCTATATACACGTGTATATACGTATGTATGTACGTATGTATGTACGTATGTATGTGTAGGTGCAAATCCACGGGAAGTCTTCCTTTGTAATGAATTAAAGCGCTAACGGAGAACACTAGGGTCGTGGCATACCTCAAAGGGCGGTTCAGTTTTCTCGCCTCGAAGCGGGATTGGGCGAGAAGATGTTGTGCACAATGCTAACTGCCGGTCACGTATCTTCTGATATTCGATTGGTCCTAAGAGATCTTCGAAGGGACCATTATTCGATGTTTATTGTTCTTCGCTTCAATTAATGATTTTCATCTTTATGTCGACCTATAGCAAATAAAGATACATTACAAACTGATGATCTTATAAAATAAAAAATGAAATAAATTTCAAGTAGATACGTCGAATATTAAATAGAAAATGTCAAATAAATATCTACTAATTATCGCTATAAATTGTAAAATCGTTGATTAATCGATAGATAGCCCGATCAACAAGATTATCAAGGATAAAGTTGTTCGATAAATAAGTAAATAAGATCGCTGGCATAAATCTAGGACGCGGTATCCCTTTGGAGCATCGTTTATTATACAAATAACGTTAGATACGCCCCAAGCAAGATATTATTATCTTCGGCAAATTGATCGTCACTTATTTTCATCGTCGGTCGCCCTTCCATCCCGTATCTTAGGTGCGCCATTAAAAAGAACGACACGAAGAGGGGCGAAAGTAAAAAGCTCGGAGGGGGCTCGAACTTTGTCGGTTTACATCGTGTGAAACTTCGTATAGTATACGTATAGATACAGGAGCTGGCGTTACGGATTCTCTCGGACGCCCTTTGTAGCGAATTAAAACTGTAGCGGGGCGAGAAACATCCCCTGTCATATGCCTTCTTCAAAGGGTGACTTAGTTTTTTCATCTCGTATGCGGTTGGACGACAAGCATGATCGTTCCACTTACTTCAAACTTTATTGTACCAAGCTCTTTTTATTACGTTAAATTCTCCTATTATTTCTACGAACTAAATTTATTTAAAACAGTTTCTACGTTAACGATTAATATTTAAAATATTTATCAAACGAAAATTCGATCCACTCAATGTCACGTTTTATTTATTTATTCTTATTTTTTTATTTTATCTATGAAGATTAGATATATTCTCAATTATTTAAGATAATGTTTTCTTGTTAAAACTTTTCGTTTTGTAACTGGAAATAATTTTATCTACAAAAAAACGTGCGTCTATAGTCTTTCAATTGGTTCAAAGAATGACATTATTTTTTCTTTATATTTGTCTAATTGATAAAATGAAATACATTGTATATTTACGCTTAATAGAAAAGAAAATCGAGCTAGTAACTATCTGAATATATGAGTCCCCCATTTTTTTTTCCAACAAAAAAAGCAATAAAAGTTGGAACATTTAATTTTTTTTTTTAATTAAAGCTTTTTGGTCGGTGTTGGTACCTCACGTCGTTAACCGTGCTACCGTTAGTGAAAGAGTAAGAGAAAGAGAGAAAGAGAAAGAGAAAGAGAAAGAGAAAGAAAAGAGAAAGAGAAAGAGAAAGAGAGAGAGTGAGAGAAAGAGGGAGAGAGAGAGAGGGAAAGAGAGAGAGAGAAAGAAGGTATAGGGAAAGAAAGAGAAAAAGAGAATTATAATTTGATGTATCTCGTTGCATAAATTAAAGGAAACGCGAATGGTAAGATCGTGGAACGTTGGACAGATCTACATACTCGCTTATTAAACTGGGCACCCGTATGAATATTCATTGATTCTTTACGTGGAAAAGAACTCTCCAAGTCTTGGCTGTCATTTTAATTGCTTCGAGAGAAGAAGAAAGATGGTGTTATTTTGTCTTCTTTTTCTTCTTCTTCTTCTTCTTCTTCTTCTTCTTTTCTCTCCTTTTCACCTCCTTCATTTTATTCTTCACAGAGGTTTTATAGTCCGTTTTTCCTCGTAGTTTCCCAGTTCAAGTTAGTTTTGGTTAATAAAATCGAGAATATGAATTTTCTTTTTTCTTCTTCTTTAATCGTTCTAAACAGATAAAATTGAACAAATTTTAATTCTATAACAGAATAAAGTATTTATGTAATTCAGTCATATTTCCATTTAAGTATATTCAAGAATTTAAATTGATCGATGGATTTATCTCGTAGACAATTGAATTCATAGAAATTTTTTTATTACAGTACGTGAATTCGTTGAAATTTATTTCGCTGATTTCGAGATGGATATCGATAAACTTATTCATTTTATTTTACTTTATTTTATTTGTTTGTTTTTTTTTTTTTTATTTACGACGATTGATATAAACTTTGAAATTCTATTTATCAAGAATAAGCATATCTAACGAATGCTATGGATTATTTCTGCATATATATATATATATATATATATATATATATATATATATATCGAATTATAAGATAGATATTTATAAAAAAAAAAATGAAAGAAAACAAAGAAATAAGAATAGATAAAAATGTATAGAAAGAGAGATGATATTTACTCAACGTGTTTCTTACACACAACATAAATGTCTGCAAATATTTACGAGAAAATAGGTCAGAGTTTTTGATGAATAGAAAATAACGGACATGATTACGCCTACGAACGATGAATACTTGGCACGACACGTAGAAATGGAAGATCATATGAGGAGAGGATAACCTCCTCCTTTTTTCCAACGACATCAAGTAATCACAAAATGCAGGGAATCTCGGCTCCTCGTAGTGTTCGTTGAAGAGGTACTGGAGGAGGAGAAGGTGGTGGTTCTGGTGGTAGTAGCAAAGAGTGAAGGAGAGAAAGAGGAAGAGAAAGAAGGAGAGGGAGAGAGAGCCTGTGAAACGCGTCGTGCGTCGTTATACAAAGTGGTTTCGTACGGTGACGCCGTGCTCAGCCCATTCAAATTACATTCCAACTATTTCTTGTCGCTTTGCACGGCGCAAAAGTGGGAGATTAATTAAATTCGTTAATTGCAAGATGCATTTAGCGCGCAGTCTCCTCGAGTTCCTCTCTCTCTCTCTCTCACTCTTTTTCACTCACTTACTCTCTCTCTCTCTCTCTCTCTCTCCCTCACTCTTTTTCACTCACTTACTCTCTCTCTCTCTCTCTCTCACTCTTTTTCACTCACTTACTCTCTCTCTCTCTCTCTCTCTCTCTCACTCTTTTTCACTCACTCTTTCTCTCTCTCTCTCTCTCTCTCACTCTTTTTCACTCACTTACTCTCTCTTTCACTCTCTCTCTCTCTCTCTCTCTCTCTCTCTCTCTCTCCTACTCTTTTTCACTCACTCTTTCTTTCTCTCTCTCTCTTTCTCTTTCTCTTCGTCCTCGAGGTGAGTCACGACGCATTCTCGTTGTACGACCCTTACCACCCCCACCCTAACTTCCTACACCCTTCTCTCCGCCAGTCCGCCGCCAGTGTTAGCGCGTGAATTTACAAAGCGACAACAAAGGTTAAAAAGCTTCGCGTTTTACTAGTCCATCCGCTTCGTTTCTCACACTTCCGTTTTTTCATTTTTCTTCCCTTCCTATTTTTCTCTTTTTTTTTTATTTTTTCCTGTCTCTATATCTTTCATTGTTTTCACTATTTCTTGAAGAATTGATACGCGCGAATCAATCAATATACTCCGTTAAGTTAATTCATTGTGAATATTTGAAAAATATTTTCTTCTTCTTTATCTCTTTTTTCTCGTTCTCATTGAAAAAGCGTCTATCATAAATTCTACTGTTTTAATTATATTACAGCTAACTTTTCTTTCTTTCTCTCTCTCTCTCTCTCTCTTTCTCTCTCTCTCTCTCTCTCTCTTTCTCTCTCTCTCTTTCTCTCTCTCTTTCTCTCTCTTTCTCTCACTCTCTCTCTTTCTCTCTCTCTTTCTCTCTCTTTCTCTCACTCTCTCTCTTTCTCTCTCTCTCTTTCTCTCTCTCTCTCTCTTTCTCTCTCTCTCTCTTTCTCTCTCTCTCTCTTTCTCTCTCTCTCTCTCTTTCTCTCTCTCTCTCTCTTTCTCTCTCTCTCTCTTTCTCTCTCTCTCTCTCTCTCTTTCTTATTCTATTTTAGATATCATGTATCGAATTACGCTAGATTAAGATGTCACGTTTAATTAAATTAAGTACGGTTTTACGTTAGATTGAATTAGATTAAATATAATTAATCCGAATTAATTTCGAAACTCTGTTGGATTAAATGAAAGCATCGAATTGTTCGTATTTGTGATCAATTATGTAACATACAAAATTCCAAGGAATTTGATCATGTAAAATAGCGAACGTATGTTTCGATGGAATCATAGAAGGATCGTTGAAAGGTCGATGATCGATTAATGTGAACACATTAATTGGTAATTAATCGGCGAACAGAAGGAGCTATTCGAATGTGATAATAAAATACAAATAGCGCGCGTTTTGCTTCACAGAAGAGGACTTGATGCACGGGGGTGGCGCGGGTATTGGAGGGGGTTCTATGGTCGGACAGAACTCAATATTTGGGTGCTCGGCTGCAGGACACAGCGGAGTTAACCAGCTCGGCGGTGTTTACGTCAATGGTCGGCCATTGCCAGACTCTACCAGGCAGAAGATAGTCGAATTGGCGCATAGTGGGGCGAGACCTTGCGATATTTCACGAATTTTGCAGGTTAGCAACGGATGCGTCTCCAAGATCCTCGGCAGGTGAGTTATCTTGTAAGTTAATAACTCGTTTATATGTTGATTAGAGTTCAACGTTATATGGAATAAAATGAGATAGTTTATTTTTTTTTTGTAAGCTTTAACATTTTGTTTAAATCAGTCAAGGAAATCGTTTGAAAAAAATCATTTAATGGAAAATTTTTTAATATATTCGACGAATATGAAGACCGTTTGTTTAAATTATATAAATATAAAGTCATAAATATAAAATATTTAATATAAAGTTTAATGTAAAGTCAATGTTTAGAAAAAAGAACGTAACGGTAGTACAGACACGAAAAAAAGACGAGCCTGTAACCGTCACGATAAAGATTCAAATGATTAGACGATAAATAAAGAAGACATATACACGTATTTATATTTGAAGAAGTTAGCTTGATCTTTGATCTTTCTTTTCTTACAGGTATTATGAGACTGGATCCATAAAACCACGCGCGATAGGTGGTAGTAAGCCACGAGTAGCGACCACTCCGGTCGTTAATAAGATCGCCGATTATAAGCGCGAGTGTCCATCGATTTTTGCTTGGGAAATACGAGATCGACTTCTCCAAGAAGGCGTTTGCAATAATGACAATATACCAAGTGTGAGTAAAGATCTACATGTACTTCGTAGGAATATGGACAACAAATGTTAATTTCCTTTGAATCATTTCGTCGAGGTTTTCGTTATATTATTTTACAATTGTAAAATGAGTCTTTAAAAAAGAAAAAAAGTACAATAATACCTAATAATTTTCTCTATCTTTCTACAAGATTATTTTTATAAAAATATTTGATCGAAAGTTTTACGAGTTTGCGTAAAGAATTTCCGCAAGCGTACATTCTTATGACAAAACGATTGAAATACGCGATATAAATCTCGATAAGTTGAGATTAAGAAAGAAAGAAAAAAAAAGGAAAAGAAAAGAAAAGAAGAAAATAGGAGTAGTCGGTGGCTTATCAGGGTGCGGACGCGGTCCGGTACTTACCCGTCGGATCCGGCCACTCGACCCTAATCAAAGTCTCGTAAATACGATCGGTTGGGAGGGGTAATCGGTCCATTACGCGGACCAAGGCTATTGTCCACCCTCGCGTCGAATGTTCTCTCAACTCCCTTGAACCCCCTATCACCCTCCTTCCGTCAGAAAGAATCGGCTCTCTCGTACATACAGCACATCCGTGCGTCTTCCAAACATCCTTTTCAACCCTCCTCGCGAATCTGTTCGGACGAGAAGGAATCTTCGAACAGTATCTCGCTTTTCCTTCGAGTGCCGTTTCCCGTCTGTCCACTTTTTTCCCTTTTCCCTGCTCTCTGCCTATCCTTTAGATCAGAACGTTCATCAGAGAAATAACGAGAGGGAGAGACATCGCACGCGTTCTGGTCATTATTTCGATCATGAAAGAATCTTTCATTTTAATCGTTGTCCTTCGGTGTTCTCAAGAGGGTTAGAAGTTACGATCAAATTAGTTTTCGAGATATTGGAATATACACAATTAATTTAGATTCAATTCTACGTTTCCTTTATGTTATTACCACGAATGGAATATATTGTATTGATCGATTAAAAAAACTATTCTGTCTGGTCTAAAATCTGTATCTAATAATTTTTTTGGTACTATTAGAAGTGTCGATAATAAAATTTTTAGGATCAATTTCAAACGGTATCACTTAATGCTCGATTACAAAATATGCAACGATCCTGACGAAGATCGATAGTCTCATATACATCGATGTCTCTTTCTGTCTCACTTAACGATACGTCCAGACGACTATCATCTATATTCCACCTATGCTGGCACCAGTGATAGCAATAATAACAGTATTCGTAATACTAATAGCGTCGGTCGTGGCTGTTGCGGCGGGTACACATTGTGGCGTCGTCGACGATGGGGTGTGAGGAGGCACGCAGGGAAGGGACACGAGTAGTAGGGGTGATCAGGTATGAGAAAGATAGAACGAGAATGATAGAGAGAGAGAGAGAGAGAGAGAGAGAGAGAGAGAGAGAGAGAGAGAGGAGTCGAGCGAACGGAGAAGCGGGTAGAATCAGAGTGAATGGGATCAGTTAAGCGTGTTGCACAATTATTCGTGTCCGGTCGCGCGTGTAATGGTCTGCATCGGTGCTGCGGCTGTTGTGCGGCAAGAGCGGAGCTTGAGCGAGGCCGAGCATGGGCAATGCGAGCCATAGCGTCGAGCCATAGCCGGCTTTGCACGACTCGATGATGGAAAGGCTAGATCAGGATGGGCGAACTGCTGTCGAGCGCGGTTAGTCGAGAAACGTCCTTTTCGTTTCCCTCACTGCATACCCCACACTCCATATTCTCTACCCCTAGTCTCGTACAATCACCGTCCACCTATCCCTCGGAGTCTGTCATTACGTCGCGAAATCGGAAGGGAATCTCGCACGCGAACGAACCTTTCCAAACGAGTCCGCTCTCGATTCTATCGCTTTACTATAGCTATGTACCTATCTCGTTCTCGGATTCGATACAACGATTAATGAGAGAGGATCGATGAACTATCGGTCTTTTCAGTAAGTCCTCTACCCTTTCGAGCTCTTCCTTCAGTAATAATGGTATCGGAGTGATCGACGATGTATGTTTGATGAGGTAAAACAAGGTTGAACTATTAATGAGACGTCTTTCTTAACGAGTCGCATCTAATTTGATATCAATCGTTCGTTGATCAAATGAAAACTTTATTGACAGTTATTAAATTTATCATTATACTATCATCAGCTTTTATTATTGTCTAATTTTTATCTAGTCTAGTATCTTCGTTCTTCAATGTTTCTTCTAATAGTCATAAATAGTCATAAATCATTGATTCACCTTTCGATTAGAATCTTTAGCAGTTAACGAAGTATAATCGTTATTTTATGGTTTTTAAATCGGATCGAATCAAAGTGTTTCGTTATTCTCTTTCTTTCTCCTTCCCCCCCTCTCTCTCTCTTCTCTCTCTCTCTCTCACTCTCTCGCTAAAGCTATTAACCGAAACTGTAATTAAGATGCTTAATTCAATACTCGTCGAGTGAAGTCGTAGTATGTACTCTGGATATATCCAACTTGGTTGTACCATCCATGTTACACAGAAAGAGGACTAGAAAGAGGGAGAGAGAGAAAGAGAGAGAGAGAGAAGGATGAAGAGAGAATGACGGACGAGGGCACGCGTAGAGTACAGAGGACTATTATGTACAAGTCGAGAGCACCGAAACTCACCCCCGTGGCTCGTTATAACTTTAGGAGTTAGCCAGTGGTTCGACCGCGATGTGCAAGGTGAAGACGACCGTGTCTGGATAGAGGGAGCGAAGAGCTATGGAAACCGTTTCATGTAATAATAATTGGATGGCGGCATCCTTTCATCTGGAGATTTCCCTATCCCGATGAGAGAGGAAGCTCTGAAAAGAGAAAAAATGTAAGAGAGAGAGAGAAAAAGAGAGAGAGAAAGAGAGAGAGAGAAAGAGAGAGAGAGAGTGAGTGAGAGAGAGAGAAAGAGAGAGAGAGAGAGAGTGAGTGAGAGAGAGAGAAAGAGAGAGAGAAAGAGAAGTCCGGTGATGATATTCGTGGACTCACGGGTGAATACGAATCTGAAATATTCGAAGAGTAGACAAATTTTTACAAAGAGTTTTTACTGGTCTCGAGTATATATCTCTCTTTTTTTTCGAGAATATACAATATCTCTGTAGTAGATTTAAAATAAGAAAAAACAAAACCTTCGACAAGATAGTATTTGGTTAATGATTATTATTACAGTAGCAAAATTGGAAAGAATATCAATCGAAGAATTTGACGTGTTTTTGTAGGTGTCGTCGATCAACAGGGTACTCAGAAACCTAGCCTCTCAGAAGGAGCAACAGGCGGCAGCAGTGCAAGCGCATCAAGGCGCCGAAAGCGTTTACGACAAGCTGAGAATGTTCAACGGACAGGCTGCAGGTTGGCCACCGGCATGGTACTCGGCTACGCCCTCTCATCATCCACTGGCCACTGGCATTCCAACAGCGGCTACCCCCGGTTCCGGACAGTCTCTTTTACCCGGTAGTCAACTACATGGTCGGGACGATTCTCTTCTTAAACGAAGCGGTGAGTTCTAATGTCCAGGAATATTTTATGGATCATTTGTATCGGAATCATAAATAATATTGTATATTTAACAATTTATTATTTTCCAAGTTATCGTGCAAAAATCATATTTTTCTACCATTATTTGGATGTTGTTGAATATCTTACTAGTAAATAGATATAAGAGATATACATAATGTTATTTGTAGAAAATCACGCGGTCGAATAAATTTTTTCTTATGGTTTCTTTTTTCTCCCGACGGATTCCAATAGCTCTGAGAAGGAACCCTCGTAATCCTCGCGCCCTCGATCCACTTCTCGATCAACAATAGCCGAAAGTCATTCGCATGACTCTGTAATTCGAAACGCTCCTTACCGATTCTATGCACGCGTTAAGTCGGATTCATTGACGAGATCGAGAAAGAAGCATTGTGAAGGGCGTCTCTGGTGTTGAACCACCTACGAACAATCTAGAAGAACCTTTGGGCTCAATGCAATGTAGTGGGTTCGCAATGTCGACGATACCTGCATGATCGTAGTCCTCCACCTCTAATAGGATCACGAAAATCCGTATGCGCGTTTCGATCGCGGTCGAGATTGCGCCACAGATGACGATTCCAGATGCGCTTTCTACACCGAAATCCGGATTACGCGAAACTCTGCTTCTCGTATGTGAAGGACAAACAATGCAATATATGTCGGGGTTCGTGATTCAAGAATTATACCAATATTTCACCCAAAGCTGCTATTGAAATTATTCTTCTTTGAATCTTAAACTCGACTTTTCATTTCAAAAACGATTATTTTGATCATTTCAAAATAAAGAAGGTGATCGATAAGTGTAATGTAGTACAAAAAATATATTCTGTAGTATAAGAAATAATTGTCGATAATTGAGACATTTAAATGTACAGAAAGTTTATTGATCGATCGAATGGAAAAAATAGAAAAGTGTTATTATCAATGTTCTATACTTTGGTGTTAATGCAAAAACTATATCTATCGATAGTCGCGTATTTACAATTGAATGAGCATCGGTATCGGCATCGGCATCGGTATCGGCATCGGTATCGGTATCGGCATCGACATCAACATCGGTATCAGCAGCAGCAACGGCTAATCCCTTTTCTCTTCTCTTCGCTTGGTGCGTCGTCACCTAGAAAATTAAAGCCAACGATCGGTCTGCAGGGGACTGTTGAGATCCTCCCTATCGGTCGTTACGCGCAGGGGTAGCGTGCTTGTGAGAAGAACGACGACGACGACGAGAGGGTGTCGTCGGCCGCAGTGTTTGGGGCTGACGGCATTTCGAATTGGGCGAGAATTGAGAGAGAAAGACAAAGATGAAGAGAAAGAGAGAATATAATTTTGTTCTGAAGGCGAGAAGCTGATGAAGTTATCGTACATTTAACTTTTAACATGCATTTGTTTCCGATTAACCAGTCCCTTCTCTAATACATTTATTAAATTCTTCGTAAATGGACGTCGCGATGACGCGATAAGATATTAGTCTTTAAATCGAGACTTTATCCCATTGCGATGGTTCATTTTTTTTAATCACTCTTTCTTTCTCTCTCTCTCCCTCTCTCTCTCTCTCTCTCTCTTTCTCTATCTGTGTCTTCCCTCGGCCGTAAGTATCTCTTTTTACTTATACTTTTTATTTCGACATAACCGAACCGATCGATTATACTGTCTCGATGTTCTGTTTGCTCCGTCGGACGCAGACTTATCGTGTAAACATGTTACGACGTCAGTGTCAGCAGAATATTAACGAATTTTTACGATGAACGATCGATCTGATGAAACGAACGAGTACGACGATTACGATTGAAGTACAAAATTTTCGAGACGTCTGTTTCGATTTTCCTTTTCGTTCTCGTCTTTTCCTGTTCCCCGTGGTTTAAAGGCTAAACGTTGGCTTTATCGAAAATGGGACATTCTATACGTAACAATGTATCTCTTTCTCTCTTGTTCTTTTGCAAAGGCTTACAAAGAAATGGAGGGAAAACGAGAGAGAGAAAGAGAGAAGAAAAAATAGATAGATAGATAGACAGAGAGAGAGAGAGAAAGAGGGAGAGAGAAAGAAAGAGGATTGGCAGCGTTGGTAGACAGAGAGACAGAGGGATGCAAGAAAGGTTTCTGAAGGGATGAGAAGTGCCGAGGGTTCGGTTCGCAGAGGCGGAAAGTAATCGTGGCTCGCGATAACGCACTTGTACCTGTGTGTGTATGAACGCACCGATACACGCACCAATATGGCGACCCTGAAGATTGAGGGTGGAATGTACGCCTAGACGCGTTTTCCCTCTTCGTGTCTAGGAATTCAACAGACGCTCGTTGCCACCACCGCAGCCGTTGCTCGTAGCTGAAATCGTTGAAACGTAAGCTCATCGAGGGGAACCAAACTTGCTTCCTTAATTGGATCGATCTTCTTCTTGGCAGGAACTGCTATCCTTGTCGTTTTACCGTGAAATATATTAAATTTTTTGAAAAATCTAACGTTCTCTTGATCTTTCGTCAATTATTTCAAAAGAATTTTAAATCCCACATTTGTACAATGTACATATTGTATTGTACCTCGCGAAGGTTAATTTTATGAATAGAAAAGGAAACATTCTAGTAGGATCATCCGCATGAAATTTTGGAAAATCTCTTTCCAGACACGGGTTCTCTGTTGTCGCATCAACAGGAGACAACGTCGGACGGTAACTCGGAACACAATTCATCTGGCGACGAGGACTCACAAGTACGACTTAGGCTGAAGCGAAAACTCCAGCGCAATCGGACGTCCTTTTCCAATGAACAGATAGACAGCCTCGAGAAAGGTGAATATATTAAATATATATGAAATTCCTTTATTTATCATTCTCATTCGACGAGAAAACTTCGATTAATTAACTTTTTATATTTTTTCTCTAATCAATTATCGTTTATATCATTATAAATCATAGTTGATTGTTGTTTATTACCTACGTAACAAAAACATTTACACTTGATTTCTTTAACATTAATCCTTTCACGAAAAATTCATAACGAATCTGAAATCCGTGTTCCCTCAATAACTTGGCACACTTGTTGCAAACTGGTTTCGTTTCAGAATTCGAGCGGACACATTACCCGGACGTGTTTGCGCGGGAGCGTCTCGCCGAGAAGATTGGATTGCCCGAGGCACGTATCCAGGTGAGTGTGAATGTGCGAATGAGGCGCGTGCTTCCTCTTTCTCGTACACTCCTATCCTACCCTTCATCTATCGGTCTCCTTTCTCCGTTTCCTTTACCGAGAATTTTCTCTCTCTCTCTCTCTCTCTCCCTCTCTCTCTCTATTTCTCTCTTTTTCTGTCTCTTTCTCACTGTTCTCCTTTCGACTCTCGTCCGCTCATTCCTTTCGAAACGAGCGGGCGTTAAGCAAGGAGACGCCCTTTCATTAAACGTTTTAAAACGTGCTCACCGCCGGCAATGCACACGCAGGATGCACTTTAAATGCCGAGAGAGTAACGTCCAACTTCCCAACGAATCTCTTCCCCCCTTCTCTCTCTCTCTTTCTTTCTTTTTTCTCTTGCTTTCGGTCTTCCTTCACACTTGCTCGCATGGGTTTTACTCGTTAGGTGAATTCTATGAGACGAAAGGGATCCCGATCTTTCTGGAATTTTTCCCTTAACGACGTCGATTTTAATTGGATTATTCGAAGACTCTTCTTTCCTACAAAATATGTTTTTTTCCTTTTTTTTTTTCTTTTTTCTTTTTTTTTTTCTTTTTCGTCCAAGTAGTGAAACGAAGTCTCATGTTTTATAGTTATTTTATTATATCTATTCAAGCAAAGAAATATTTCCTCGTAGTTTCAGAACTTTACTTTATTTCTTTTTTATGCGAAATTCCGTCATCGTTTCGATTATCGCCGGGAGGATGGATCTCCCGTTTTTCCTGATGAAAATCGTCGAATTTGACAACGCGAATATTTAGTTAATATTTTCTGCACGATTCGCTAATAAATGTGATATGGTATACACGAGATTTATACGCACGATACAATGCATCGTTTTCCACGCATTGTTACATTTACAAGAGCGCTCTTCGTAATAATATTAAATTACCGTAACTGTAAAACGCGTAATGAAACGCACAAGTTCGGAAGAGTGGAAAAAATAATATGTGTCCGAATGATTTTCTCATGGTGTGCGGTAACGGGAATTAATATTTTTACATCTATCTCGAATTAATGCGAATTTTTGCGAGACAAAGAGAACGATAAACGAATATGATGTGTTATGATTTTACGAAATCGATAAGAGAGTGAGAGAGAGAAAGAGAGAGAGAGAGAGAGAGAGAGAGAGAGAGAGACAGAGAGAAAGCAAGATGAACGCATATAGAATATTGTTATTTCAAAACAATGATCCATGTTTGTTAGCAACGCTGAAATATCCAAGCATCGTTTGCAAATATTCACCATTTCAACGGGAACACAATTGCCAGTCGACTTCGTTTATATATCTTGTGCATATTAACAGATGCAAAGGAATATATCGTTTGTAAATTCGTTTTATGAAATGTTTCTCAATTAGCTAGTCGTAATATTTTTTTGCGAAATAAGAATTATAAAATGATCAACGTACTTGCATATACATACATATACAGGGATATAATATATTAGGACAAATATAATATCGAGTCATTGAATTAAAATATAAGCTTAAAAACAAACAAAGGCAACTTTTATGCGCGTTCGATTATCAAATTTATAGGCGGATATCTCAAAAGTTTTCTGACACAGATTAATTTTTTGTATTTTTATCGATCCAAATTTCATGTTACGTGAATTTTTATTCCCCATGGGAAATTAACTTCCCACAAAGGTATCAATTTTTATAGCTTTCAATGACCTAGTTATGGAGTTCGGAAGCTTTCATAAGACTTTTGTTTCTTTCATATTTTTTTCTCCATCTTCCGATATGAATTAAATTTGGCTTTAATATACGACAAATTGACTCGACCATACAAACGATAAATCCAAACGCGATGTTTCAATTAAATTCTAAACAAATTTTTTTTAACATTTCGTTGGAAGGTAAGTATAAAATACAATAGAAACACAAAAATTTTTGTTTGAAAGGCCTAGGGTAAAAGAATTAAATCAGTTGAAAGAACAATAGCCCGACAAACGAAAGATCCGAGTTCGAATTTCGTTTCAACCATACGAAGGACTAAATTCGTTTGCGAATCCTATGAATTTTTGAAACTTTTTAACGTTAACGAATACTTGTATTTATTTTCGAATTAAGTTAAAAAATAAAATACATAGAAATAGTTGCTCCAAGTAAATTAATCGTTTTCACATTGTTTCGATAAAAGGACGAAAGTAAAAGAAATAAAAAAAAAAAAAAGAAAAAATAAAAAAACAGAATGAAATAGAACATGTAACCATCAATCGGTTCCCTTGCATCTTATTGTTAGTCAGTTACAGGTAACAAATCATAGTCGATGACGGTAATTCTTTTCTTGATCAATTGAATTTTCTTGATCAGATGAATTTCGGTTAAGTGTCCAATGATAAACGCAATTCCATCAAACGTGACAAACACAGAAAGACGAAAGAGAGAAAGAGGGATGAAGATACGATAGGATGTAGAGCAGGCGCGCTTCACGGCGTATTATTTTAATTAATACCGCTGGTCGAGCCGCAGGGTGACGTATGGCCGTATAAGCTAATATGTACGCAGCCTTGTCGGACATTGTTTGGTCGTACCGCTCTGATACCTCTCTCTCTTTCTGTCTCTCTCTCTCTCTCTCTCTTTCTCTCTGTCGTCTCTCGAGGGATGATATTCGAGCACCATCTCTCTCTCTTTCTCTTTCTCTCTCTCTTTTCTCCCTTCCTCACCTGTTTCAACGATGGAGGGTGGCGAAGTGGCCGGCCAGGGGTGGTGATGTTGCCGGTGGTGGTGGTTGTGGAGATGGTAGTAGTAGAAGTGGTGGAAGTGGTGGTGGTGGTGGTTGGCGTGCCTCTAGTAGCCGTGCGCGGAGCGTTATGTGGACGTACAAACAGTGCAAGACCATGTTGACGCATGTTTTCAAGCCTCGTTGGCTGGTATTGATCTTGCTAAGTGCAGGAAACCGGGAGTGCCAGGAGAGCGAGAGGGCGAGAAAGAGGGAAAGACTAGGGGAGACAGACAGGGAGGGAAAGAACAAGCGGAGGAAGAGGAAACAAGAAAGGGAGAGAAAGAGAAGAGAGAGAGAGAGAGAGAGAAAGTGAGAAAGAGAAAGGGATGAGTCGACCGTTTCGACCGATGGTCGATTCCCTGAACGGATGGAAGTTCCACGTTGCGCATTGTAAAGACAAAAATCAATGGATGCGTACATAAAAATGGATGGATAGTAGTATTAAAAGTACGAATATTTAGATATCTCGAATTAAAATCTAGAAAACAAAATGACAAAAAAATAAAATAAAATGGAGATAGTAAAGAATGACGGAATGGCTAAAGATATTTACTTAGGAAAGAATACTATTAGAAAAATGAAGATGAAAATATGAATTAAAGAAAGTTGACAAAATAAATGGATAATCAAAGATAACAAAAAAAAGAGGGAAACAAATGAAAGAAAAAGAACAGAAGAAGAAAAAAGAAGAAGAAGGAAATAGAGCGTACTGAACGGCGGCCAAGCAAATGGTGGAACCACCATGCCAAATTTCATACATATACATATACATGCGTAGAGAGTGAGAACACAGATAAGGGTAGAGTTTTGGGCGTATGTAGAGAAAGAGAGAAAGAGAGAAAAAGAGAAAGCAAGTCAGATAGAAAGAGGAAAATAGAGGGTGAGGAAGTAACGTATAGGTAGCGCGCGCGACGCGGACGAGTCTCTCGGCGAGCTGCGAGGGATCCGGCAGAAGGCCTAAGAGGGTTCGGACGCAACCATGGCAACGACGCGTCCCCGGGGAGGTTGTCCTCCGATTGGCCGTTCCTCGTTCGCTCTTCCTTCGTCCTTTCATGCGTCTGTGTACTAGCGAGCACCTCCACGAGGTTGTTCCATGGCCTAGACCGCTCGCCGATTATCATCGCACGCGACTCTCCCTTCTTCAACAGAGAGAAACAGAGAAAGACAAAGAAAGATAGAGAAAGAGAGAGAAGAAGAGAAAAATGGACAAAAAGGGATGCTCCTGTTCGGAGGGAGGTATACCGCAGGATTTCCGACGCGTCTCGAGAGGGTAAATCGTTAGAGGGTGGCTGTGAAACGTTTTTCGTGATGGAACGTAAAGAACGATTCTTATTTCGAATATATTTTTATTATATTTCTTCTACTATCTCTTTCTCTATCTTCGACTCAATCTCATTCGTTCAATTCGCTTATCTTTCCTCGTTAGAAATCTTCGTCTTTGATAAGGATAATTCTAATTCTTAACTGAGCTTAGTTGCAACTCGTCTTATCAACTCATCTTCTTCATTTTCGCCATCACTTATCGTCCTTTTCAATCTCCCGTCTGTTGACTTTACAAACGGATTCATTTCTGCAAACATTTTTTGATTTGAATAAAACTCGTGTAGAAATTACTGAATATTCAAAGTTCGGAACCATCTTTGAGATATCGTCAATCAGAATAGAAGGTGTGTGCTCTCTCTCTATTTCTCTTTCTCCCTGTCTGTCCCTTTCTTTATCTGCCTCTCGTTCTACTATAAGAGGGTTGAAAGTAAGAGGTAGATAGACAGATAGAGGGAGAGCATCCCGAGGTCTATTTGGGATCGCAGAATTCCGAATGGATCGATTCGAACGAGTTTTCGGGGACAAGGGAGGACGAGTTTACGAGGAGCGACGGTATTGGGCGGAAGGAGAACGCTCCGAGCGAATGGTAGATATTTGACGGTGGGGTTGCTCGAACACGATTTGCTACCCTTCTATCCCCTCGTGGTCGCTCCTGCAAACTGCCGGGGAATGAAATTTATTTTTTGATTCAATTGACGCTCGTCGATGGGTAGCTCTCGAAACCGCGTTACTTGCTACGCCGAGAGTGAAGAAGAGAAGTATAGGAAAAGAGAGAGAGAGAGAGAGAGATAAAGAAACAGACAGATAGACAGACAGAAAGAGAAAAAGAGGGAGAGAGAGAGAGAGAGAGAACTAGAGAGAATAGGTAAAACTTCGATTCCTTCAAACCATATTCCTCCTAGTTTCCATTTTTCTGCGAACGAGAAAATTCCTTTTTTGTTCGTTGTATTGGAACTTTCAAGAGGTTGAAAAGTAAGTTAACCGATAAGTACGATCACTACAAATCTAGTAATATGAGTGAAGAGCGAAATGATTATTTCATTCCACTCTCCTCCATTCATTTTGTTTTTAATAATTTCGATACAAAGTTTTGTAAACCTCTCGTAAATCATTAACATTTATGTCACAATTTGTAACGCGAGAATAACACAATCGAGCAGGAGAAATTCAATTTCCCGTTCATTTAATTGCAATTAATAAACTACGCGAGATTGAATTTCATACGAAAAAAAAAAAAGAAACAGCGGGAATAGTATTTAAAAAAAAAAGAAAGTAGAATCAATGAGCGTAAAAATACATTGAAAAGAGACATCTCTAATAACCTAAAATATTAATTCGAAAATAAGGAAGCAAAGAGTAAAGAGAGTACGAGAAAGAGGAAGAAGTGCGAGTGTGGGTGTGCATGCTTGTTTGCAAGAAAAAGAGAGAAAGGAAGAGATTGAAGATGAAAGATGGAGATAAAAAATAAAAAAAGTAGAAAGAGAGAAAGAAAGTGTATACGTATGTGTGTGTATGTGTGTGTGTGAGAAAAAGAGAGAGAGAGGGAGAGAAAGATAGAAGAAAGGCGAATCGCGGGGAATAACGCATTTATCGTGACAGAGGCACCGTATGGTTTCACCGGTTGCAGGTGTGGTTCAGTAATCGCAGGGCAAAGTGGCGTCGAGAGGAAAAGTTGCGAAACCAGAGAAGAGCGGCCGTCGATCAGGTAGTCGGTGGTGGAAGTGGGGGTGGTAGTAGCAGTGCCGCACCTCCCGCAGCGACACCGGCTACTCCACGTTTGCCTCTAAACGCCGGATTCAACGCCATGTACTCCTCGATACCGCAGCCAATTGCTACTATGCCTGATACTTACAGGTTAGTTAATAAAAAATTTGTTTGCATTTAACGTGTCTATGTATATATATATCTTAAAAAGTAAAGTAAAAAATTATCATTACGTAAATATAATATTTCGATATCGGAAAGTATTTAAGTTTTCAAAAATGGTTTAAATAAATTAATTTTAGTATAAATTAGGTATCAATAACTTGGGTAATAATAGGGTAAGTGTCCTTTAAAACGATGTAACGAGCGTAACGAATCTTATTGAAAAGTTTGGTAAACGTCTAAAAGGCGAATTATTTTCAACACCCCATCGTGGATTTTCTCTCTGATGTCAGTTCAATGTCGGGTAGTCTGGGCGGGTCAATGGGTGGAAGCTGCCTTCAGCAACGAGCCGAGGGATACCCGGCGTACGTGTTCCACGAGCCACTTCACTCGCTCACGCAGTCTTACACTCACGCACACAGCACTGCGCATTCGCAACCCCATCGTGGTATTCCAACCTCCCATGGTGGTACCCCCACCACACCGGGTGGCCAACCTGCGGGACCAGGTGGTGCGCCCTATCAGCCGACGACCTCGACCGCGACTGGTAAGTTTTCTATTGACTTATATAAGTATTCATGATTATCCATTTTATTTTACTTCTTACTTGTTTCTAAAGTTTAATTGAGGTTGCTTTAAAAAAAAAATTTTTTTACATATTTTAATTTTTTGAATGAACCGTATAACACGAAAGATTAAATATAATCCATGAACTGAATGGAGAGTAGTATTATTTTCTAGGGATCACCTTTTAATATTTTATTTGAACAATTTTGTCATCTTTTGCATATATATAACATATCTATACTGTTCTATTCTTTCTATTCTATCTATTTATATTACTTACTTTATACTGTTCGTCTGTTCATCTTTCGTCAGGAACATCAAACATCGATTGTATTCATCGTTCCGCTTGTTAATGAGAATTAGGGAAGAATTTAACTATATTGACATAGATTCGTTGACAGAGAAAACCATAATAGAATAATTAACGCATCCGTGACGGAACGGAGAATTCGCACGCAATGATTTTAAAGATATCATTCTGTTTCAGCGATGGACGAAAATCGTTCGATGAGTATCCTCTCCTCTTCACTCTTACAAATGCGAATTCGCAACTATTTTGAGTAGGTCAATATTTGTCGTGTTTGCATTACACCCTAGTTTCAAAGCAGATTAGCTGTAAACTGGATTCGAAACTGAAACGAAATTACCGTTTCGATTTCCCGCACGGCCCCCGTTCGCTGATTTTATCAGCGGCGAACGTCGTCGGTGAGCATACCCGCACGTGTGTGAGTATCGTGCGATAACGAATACGGTATCTCCGATATTCATCACAGTTTGAGCTTGCAATGATACAGCGGTTCTTCTAAAAACGTCGATCGCTCGAATTTTCTTGCGAGTTCCACTTTCGTTTACACGTTGCAAGAACCGATTGGAAAATATAAAAAAGAAGGAATAAACGGCCATTAAATCGGATTTCATTTGACATTTCACATTTTTACGACTATTTTCATTTTATGAATTATATTTATGAATTATATTTTCATTTTTTCAAATACTAATCACAGTTATTTCGTGGAATTCGAAATTAAATAAAAGGCATTAGTAGCAATGTGAACGCAATAAAAGAAAGATTCAGTTTTCACTAAGATATTACATAAGGTTCTCTAGTGGTTCGCTCGAATGATATATTAAATTTTTATTCGCTCGTCAATTCAACGTAAGAATTCCTCGCATTCGTATAATAACGCGTGCCGCATCGTTCATTCGCTCAACCTCCTCGGTTGCGTCCCATTGTCTCTTTTATTTTAGCACTTTATCTCTGGATATTTGATCTCTCGCTTCGTATCTCCGGAGAGCTTCGGGGTGTTGCTAATTTTATGTCGTAAGCTTTCAACCATTTCGGCGTCTATTAACCGAGAGAGCTATTTTCCATGAAAAGGGACAGAGAGAGAGAGAGAGAGAGAGAGAGAGAGAGAGAGTGAATACCGCTATGCTTCATATCCATGAAATATATCCTTCATTTTTATCACTCCCAATGACATTGTGAATAATCGTGCCGGTGAATCTATTATCTGCACTTCCACGCGTGTATTCAATACCTTTAATTATTTCCTACGTACCGTTAATGATATCCCATTCATCTGCTTCTTTTTTCTTTTCTTTTCTTTTTTTTTTTTTAATATGCGTTAAATCGATGTTGCATTGTTTAGAAAAGAAACGTTCGCGTGGGCCTTTTCGACAAGGAATATTTTTAGGATATCTTAAAATATTGGAATAAGTCGAATACTAGAAAAGAAAAAAAGAAGGAAAAAAAAACTCACGTCGAAGAACAAGGAGATTCCTTCCTACGAGAGAGTTGAACACAGTCGAGTCCGTTTTTGTTTCGAATTTTCTTCGTTATTCACGAATCGTCGCTTCCTCTCTATTTCTTTTTCTTTTTTGCGCTCAGTGTCGAGTGCAAAATAAAGCGGCGAGGATTACCTGGGAGCCTCTTCGCACGCAATCTACATAGACCAAACCCCGTTCTCTGAGAGCGCGCGCGAGAGAGAGAGAGAGAGAGATAGAGCTAGAAGAGCGAGGGGTGGTCCAAGTGGTTATAGCACGCGGGTCGACGCTCGCCCACGGAATTGTAAAAGGATTTTAAAACAAATCTCGCATGGCGCCGGCGGGCTGAATCGAAGAATGGGATGTTCGGCGGTTTTCCACCCCCGTCGACGTAGAGCTCCTGAATTTTCCATTTTCTCGACTTTCTCTCTCTCTCTCTCTCTCTCTCTCTCTGTCTATCTTTCTCTCTCTCACTCACTTACTCACTCACTCGCTCGCTTACTCGCTCACTCACTCTTTCCCTCTGTCTTCCTCTCATTTTCTCTATCCATCTCTATTTCTCACCCCTCTCCCGTTTAACGAAAGCCGTCGAGGGTCGATCCTCTTCGTCCTGTATCTCTCTTCCTCCCTACTTACCCTTCCCTTCTATCCCTTCTACTCGCTTTTCCTTTCTCTCTCTCTCTCTCTCTCTCTCTCTCTCTCTCTGTCTCTTTCTCTCTCTCTCTCTTTCTCTTTCTCTCTCGTTCTCACTCTCGTCAGAATGTACAGGGGTGAACAGAGGATGTGGATGGGTTGGGTCTCGCCTCGGCTGGGCGAGCGCTCAATAACGTGCGAACCCAAAGGGGAGGAAATACGGGGGTGCGCGGCGTACCTACAGGAATGGAGTGGAACGATGTAGAATGGTGGAATACTGCGGAACACGCGCGGCCTTCTTTTCCTACTCTCTTTTCCGCTCTTTCTTTTCCTCTCTCTCCCTCTCTCTCTCTCTCTCTCTCTCTATATATATATATATATATATATATATATATATATATATATGTATATATATATTTCTTTCTCTTGTAACACGGCGTCTATCTTTCCCTCCTTTTTTCTCTTCTTACACGCCATTATCCTTCATAATCGCTTTACGTGCGCCAACGCCAGAGATTTCTACAACGCTCTCGTTATCATTGCACCTTATTTTCTGTCTTTCTTCTATCTGTCTTTTTCTCCTTCCTTCGGCACCTATGTCTCTGCAAAGAGAAGCACGTTTTCATAGTTAAGTAGTCGGTTGTGGTGAAGACACCGTTCACCGTTGGGAATATTCTCGCTTTTTCTACCTTCTTGCATCAACGTAATGAAGGTTAATGTATGCATCCAAGGTAGAACTTTTCTTTTTCTTCTGGTTGAGTTTTTGAAAGGATAATTCCGAGAGATTCGTTTCGAAACTTTTATTATATTGAAATAAATAATGATCAATGTATCTTCGTTAGATGTTACGCACACAATTGTCTCGTCATATTTCATAAAAATGTATTTATAATTATTTTGAAAGTAACATAATAGATATCTCTAATCTAAGAAGTCTTGTACTATGAGATAATGCTAACTAGTATATTTTGTTTTAACAAAGTTTACTTTAAGGAATATAATTATACAAAAATTTTTGATCATATTCAGTCTAATGTTTAAATATAAACAACTAACTAAGACAAAGAAATATCTTATATATAATATTTATAAACGTAGACGAGAATGTTCGAAGTAGTATCCTTATTGGATTAATTTCACGTTGCCACATTTGTCGGATTAATTCTACGATTGAAGCAACTACGATTGATGGTTTTGTAATTATACGTACGGTTTATCTGAAAAAGTTCTAATCATTTGTCAATCAAAAGATCAATATCAGTAAATAGTAATGTAAGGTAAACGTTCTCTGTTCGTAAGGAATCCTTCGAGACCTTCGAGTTTTATCCGAATAAAAATGTAAATAAAAAAGAAAAAAAAGAAGTAAAGAGAGAGAAAGAGAGGGAAAGAGAGAGAGAGAGAGAGAGAGAGAGAGAGAGAGAGAGAGAGAGAGAGAGAGAAAGAGAAATTAGGGAAAGGAAGGTCGTTTTACATGAGAGAAAAGGAAGATAAAGCAAGTGATCGACCTTGAATATGTTTCAGGTGTAATATCGGCAGGCGTATCGGTGCCGGTGCAGATACCATCCCAGACTCCGGACCTGACTGGCAGCTATTGGCCTCGGCTCCAGTGATCCCAGCTATTCGGGTTCCCGCCCGCGAGCTTGCTCGTGGGGCAGGAGAGCCCGCCACCACCGACGGTCACACCAGGTGCCGTTTCGAGACCGCTTTTAGCCAGTCTCGGCATACCGACGCAACCACCGACGGCGTCTCAGCAACAGCAACAGCCGAGCAGCACGCCGGCAACGACCCCCGTACATACCTCCGATACCAGTGAGTGAACGAGACGCATCATTGCGACACTCTCTTTATCTTTCAAGAGAGAGAGAGAGAGAGAGAGAAAGAGAGAAAGAGAGAGAGAGAGAGAGAGAGAGAGGGAGAGAGAAAAAAAGAAAGAAAGAAAAATACCGAGAGAATCATCGAGAATTCATCGAGACTTCTATCCACAGCGAGAAAGACCTTTTTCTAAGACTTACGATATTTTCCTGTCAAGCGAGGCCTCGAAACGTTACTCGGCACTGATGACGTCCTCGAACCGGATACCTCACCTACTTTTTTCATCTACTCGCACCGAATTCGGAGGACTTTGCATCGTTGATCGGTGAGACGTTTCTTAATCATCATTAATTTTTTGTCTTCTTTTTATCTTCAGCTTTATTTCGACGAATCCTTCTTTAATTATTTATATTATTCCTTTTAGAAAAAGATATATATGTTAAAGAAATATCTACGTTGGTAGCTATATAGTAGATATTTCTTTATTTTTAAATCAATTCGATTTTATCGGATCAACGATGCGAAGTTACTTGCGTTTTTAAGATTGAACTTTTTCGAAAATATCGATGTCTCTGTGACGATCATCCGTGTATCGTCTAGATCTCGTAGATTGTATACGCATGACCCGGGTCACACAGGGTATATTTCACCGTTCACGATATTATATAAATTAAGACACACATCATCGCATTGGAAAGAAATTTTTTTCGATGATACACCGGCATTGCATTGAAATAACCGATTCGAATCATTTCAATCGATTTGCCTGTAGCCTTGAGCGTTTCTTTTTTGTTATAAAGTAATGTTTTTACGTAGAGGAATATTAAATGTTATCGTCATTTTATCAAATTGAACCGATCAAAAATCAATATTAGTTACTCATTTTTAATGACTTAATGGAAATATGTACGTAGAAAATTTCGAACAAGTTCATCGCGTGACTTTTATAATAGAAAATTTTTAAGGGGAAATCGTGAAAATCTCGAGGAACATTTGTTTCTTATCGGTTCACTAAAAAATGCGAAACTCATCGCAATGACGGTGCGTCGACGAGATGAATTATGCCAAGAAAGAGAGTACACGTAATTTAATAACTCCGAACGGGACAAGAAGGAAAGATCAGGTTACAAACTTGGCACGAATTGTGCATTTATCGCAAAATTTTTGTTGACACGTCGACGTTTAATCACAGGGTAAACTTTTTTCTTTTCTCTTCTTTTCTTTCTTCTTTTTTTTCTCTTTTTTTTTCTTTTCTTTTTTTTTTTTTTTAACGAAACTCAAAACCAACAAAAACGAACGAACGTACGTATGCGTTTTCAGACCGCAAGTTTTTTTTTTTATCCAACTCGAAAACACTCGATGTTACCAATCATTCGTAGAAATCCAATCGATAACTCGATCGTTTCGTTCGAGCTATCTTATTTAATAAGACGAATCCGTAAATCCGTAGCTTTATAAAACTCGTGAAACGGTCTAGAGAATCGACGTCCAAGTTCTGCGATAGAAAGATCCTCGAAGCATTATTTTTCGAAATAATGATTGGAAAAAATGCTCGACATTTTCGCATCGGATTTTGATAGTCGATCTTTCTTCTCGTTTTCCGTTTTTCCTTTGACAAATAATATCTTCTCCCTCACCTAATCCCTTCAATTCCTAATCTCGACACTTCTTGTATAAAGCTGATTGTAAAATAGCATTTGTTACTCTCGGTAGATTGTAGACATGTAAATTAGCGATAATCATCGGCATACTGTATATACGTTGTAGTTAAGAGAAACGAACGAATGAAGAAGAAAGAACAAAAATATATGAAACATCGATCGTCGCTATAAATTCAGACGTTAAGAACCGTGGCTTAAAATCGTACGCGCGATCATCGTTGTTCCCTTGTGATCGTCGAAGCGTATTCGAACAGAAAATTCCGAAAATTTCCGCAAAAGGATCTAGGAACGATATTGATTTCTGCATCGGCGAATAAATTCGCGCGAGTCATTTTCTTTTAATTAATGTCACAATCACGGAGTTCAATCGCGCGCATTTTAAAGAAAGAAGCTTCCTTCCACGAAGTCAAAATCTATCGTTCGATCGCATTTTCTAATTCACCGCACAGTCCGGTTTAAATATTCAACGGGAAAGTGAAATTCTATTGCGCGCGCGAGCAAAAATAAATATGTCGTCCTATCCGGCAACCACCTGTAACTTCCGTTGGAGATTCGTGACGATGGATGCGACGTGGTTGATTCGACCGAATGTTTTTAATGATGCACAAAGCAGAACGAAACAACGCGTTTTTTTGCTAATTGAGTGCCACGCGGTGAATAATTAGTCCATCGATCCCCGAGTCCGATGCGGAAACGATGTAAAAGCCGACGAGCCAACGACGACGTATTTATTTCGAATTTTAAACGATCCAGACTGCTCTCGTCTCTCACTCTCTCTCTCTCTCTCTCTCTTTTTCTCTCTTTCATCCCTTCTTCCTTTTTTCCCCAACGATTTGTACGAAAGCTCTCTTGATTGTCGACGATCGCGTACCGAAAAACAAAGCCGCGAGTTCTCGCCAAAAATGTCTGGAAAGGGCTACGACGAATCGAACTTTGTAATAAATATAGCAAAAAAGCACTTACAATTTGTCATACGGTCAATAATTAATCACAAAGAATACCTATACGTTTGTGTTAAAAAGTTAACGACATGTCAAACATAAAATAACGTTTGTCCTATCGATCATCGCCATTGCGACCATTCCCCATTACCTTTTCCTATTTACCCCATCGAGTTCTGTAAAAAGTGTAGAGGAAACGAATCGAACGATATTTTCTCGTAGACTCGCAAACTTTTCTCTTTCTCTTTCGATCATCATAAAGCGCTTTTATTACGCGACGCGTTTAATACGCTCGACCGTGGAATCATAATGTACATTATCTCTCTAGTAAATTTATATTTTTGGAAAAAAAAAATAAAATTAAAAAGGATAGAAGCAGGGACAGAAGCGAGCACAGATCGTAGATCCGTAGATAGAATTTGTCGGTCGTTACTTTTTACGATACTTTTACTATTTCCATTTTGTTCTTTCGTCATCTTTTCCAAAATAACACGTTCGAAAATCTTCAAATCGAGGTCCCTTATCAATTTTGTCGATCGTTTCGAGACATTTACGTACGTTTTGATTTCACTATGTAAGTACCACTTCTGCGTCTTTATATATGTCCGGGAGAAACTTCGAATTGTTCTCGTTTGCTCGCTCTCTGCACGGATTATTATCGTAAATTTCTCTCTAATCGCTCTAATAGGGCAAAGGAGATTTTTCCACATTTCACTTCGTAACTCGATTATTTTTATATTCTTTCTTTTTTCAATATCCAATCGAACGGCATTATTATCTCTTTCCCACGATTATCAACAAGTAATTTAAATAAACATGACGTGGAAGTGGTCACGTAACACTTCTCTTATCTGTAATAATGATACTAGTAATGAATACAGTGTACGAATGTAAGCAAATTTATTAACGAGAAATAATAAAAATGTATATAAAATATTACGTACGTATATGCATATATATTAATACGACCGTAATCCAATGTAAGTGTTGTGAATAATGAGATAATATTGTTGCTGTGATTACCTTTAAGATTGTAAGTAGTAGGAAATTAGAACCATTGTTAGCTGTCACTGTCTCGATTCCAATAAATGTTATTTCATTTTAATCCTAACAGAGTCACATTCTTTACCCACATCATTGCATTAAAGTATATATAGATAGCAAACTTTCGAGTGCACTTGTTGGAACAAGGAAGAGAGGACTGTGAATATCGAAGTGAGTACGCGTTAATGACATAAACATATATATTTGTTTTGATCGCATTTGTTTGCGATATCATCGTTTTTGGTATGAATATATTGCGATAACACAATAACGTATTTTGCATCTCGATCGTTTATCACATTAACCTTTTAATGTAAAATTGTAGGTAAGTGATACAATATCATATTTCGTTAATAAGAAACCTATACGAAATTATAAAACCAAATATATTTATTCAATTGCTAATCAAAATAAATGAGCAGGCATATAATTCTTTTTTTTCTACTCGTAAAAAATATAAAAAAAAAAAAAAAAAAAGATCATCGATAGATATTTGTACATATATTATAAAATGTATAACTATCTTTCTAAGTAATATAACGTATCTAATGACGAATAAAGAAATTAAAGAATTAAGATAAGTTAATTTATCTTAGGAATGAAAATAAAAAGGAAAAACAAATGATAGGAAAGTCAATGGTAGCTTGCTTATTGCATTCACTCGTCGAAATAAATCCGTTTATAAAGTTATTTATCTAACAATGGCGTCTGATCCGATATATTTTTCAAGTGATATCGATACATTTTCGTGTACAAACGTCCAAGAACGTCGTCATTGTAGATACGAATTATGGCCAATAAAACCCATAACACGATCAAGCTTATGTCTAGAAAGGAGAAAATAAGAAACGAAGGTAGATCAATATTTTCTCGTATTTTTTGTTTTGTTTTTTTTTTTCATCTATGATTAATACAAATAAAAAAAATGAATTGAACGTTTGATTACCTGCGCTCTGTAACGGATAACTAACGATCGCATAATTAAACAAAGATACGGTCAGGCGTCTGATAACGTTGATAATGATGTAGACAAAATTTGTATTCGCAAAATAAGCGATCGATAAGACTATCATGAATCCTCCGAGAACAGCGCATGTCAGAAGAAGACCAAACCAGGGCATCGAGATTAGAATAATCATGACGATGAGCGCGATGAACAAATAAATCGACCAGAACATCCAATCGTTCTCCAAAATTCCTAGAGAGTCTGAAAGGTTAATCAGAAATGATAACGTGAATTCCTAATCCGTGTCATTCGTACGAAAATGATTACATATAGATTGAAATGATTCTTTCGATTCGATGATTCGTGAAATCCTATATCCATTTCGTTAAACGATATTGATAGGTTAAAAGGATAAAAATAATATGTAAAAAGTAGAAGTGCCATTTTCTTTGAGTTTGAGGAAGAATCAAGAAGGATTCGACATGGGGTTGTGCCTACTAAAAGCGGGTAATTTAAATAGGTCTTGGTACTAAGCAAATACGGAGGGGACACAATTAGGTAAATGCAAATCTTTCAAGCTGGTTAGATCGTTCCGTGGGATTTGGAGTTGGAAGGCAATATGAAAGAGAGAAATAGGGAAAGAAAAAATGAAAGAGGGGAAAGGGAGAGAGAAAGAGAGAAAGGGAGAGAGGCAGAGAGTGGACGAAGGCTCATTGTACGCGCAGAAAAGTACGCGCGCGCGTATACAGAATGGAAGGGTAAGGAGGGTGTTCGTTCTCGTCCTCGTCCTCGTGTTATAGTGAGAAAGGTGGGAGGTAACGCGGATGCCGCTCCGTTTCTACTCTCTGCACCGAGGGGGATTCGGCAGTCGAAAGTTTCCACATGAGCGGACAACATTGATAGAAGCTACCCCCGAAAAAGGGAGAGACACGAAGTCTCCGCATTTCATCCCTTCGCCAAACTCAAACTAACTTCGGCCTGCTGGCCGACTCTCACTCCCCCATACACCCTCTACCCTTATTTTCTCTTTCTCTTACTCTTTTTCGCTTTAGTATTAAAAACGATCAAATGGGAAAAGACGCGCCTAGCAAATTTTTACGCTTGCTGCTCCCATCGATACTATTTTATGCCAAGTCAAAATATTTTCTTGAGTATATTTCGAAGGAGTCTATTTCTTTTGATTGTCTGTCTTATCAATTTTGAGTAAGATATTTGGTTCACCAAAATATTCTTATACGGATATAGATTTCTCAAACGAAAGTAAAATCAAACATTTTGTTTTTTTTTGTTTATAGGATTGTAGTAAGATAGATAGATAGATAGATATCTAGTTTGGGACGTTAAATTAGTTTGAAGGATTAGAATCTATACATTTTTTATAATAATTGTCTCGAGATCGATTTTAGAAGCTCTATGTAGCGAAGTTTCAACTCACTTCAAACAAATGCTAATAAACGCCTATATTTGCCTTCAGAGTTGAACAAACTATTATCCGCTAGCTACATTTATTCTAATTATTTCTGTTCTAGTTATAAAAATTAAATGACTATTTTTTCTCCATTTGTCATTAAATACTTTACCTTTTACACTGAAATAGAAGATCGAACTGCAGAGAAATCCGAAAAAAAGTATGGAAAAAAAGACTATTATATATTTTTTCATGTAACAGGAAATAACGCTCACGAGAAAAAAAAGGAAACTTCCGCCCATGCTTATTTTAATATTTGCTGTAAGAAAAAGAAAAAATTTAGTTAGTATCAATCAATAGATAGTCATAATTAAATTTGTTATTCGACAAATTAATGATCATAAATATTGTTATTTACTTGCGATATCATAAGATGCAAAAGATTTAATTACGATGTAACTAATTATGCCACCAAGGAATGTTGTATACACGACGAACTCCATGGCGATCATTTTATGTCCTTTAAGGACGCATAAGAGACCAAAAATAAACATTAGAATGCATAATAACTTCGATAGCATATCATCTGTAAAACAAAATAAAACAAGAAAAATCTCTTATATTTGCATTAATGTTATATTATTGCTAAGTTTGAGTAATAAGATAATAATCGATTTAATAAAGCAGAATATAGAAACGTACTTAAAAATTGATCATCCTCAGGATAGAGAGCATAGTTGAATCCGTAGGTGAAAGTTGGTACGTAAGCTGAATAATTATTTCCATAGGCAACTACAGCCGCGTAAACGATCCCCATGCCATTATTACGGCTGTAGATTCGTCTTAACGGAGATATGCTCGGTGCTGGTATCTGACAATAAAACAAACAAAAAAAAAAAAAAGAAAAAAAAAAAAAAAGAAAAAAAAACAACAAAGAAATAAAAAAAATAAATAAATATTTCTTCTTGTCATCTAACGTTGATTATCGATTAATCGATTAACAAAAAATAAACGATTTTATTACAACAGTTTAATCGTTCTCGTTCAAGAAGGAACATGTTATGTAAAAAAAAAAACAATATAGGAGCGGGCGAGTGGTGGGAGAAGGGTTAGGAGAGAGGATGAAAGAATGAATAATGAAATATTTGTTCTTTTTATTATATTTTCTCCATGAAAATGTACCTTTTTACCATTACGAAGGATATCCGTGACGGTGAGCATACTGTTAATAGCATTGAAGTAACTCTCTATGGAATAGTCATGTTTGGTTAGGAAAAAGTGATATGTCTCTGGAAAAATACAGCGTCTCTCGATTTCGTTGCTCGTGAGTGGTAAAGAGGCAGACTGTGAATCCAGGATAACGATCGAATCGTTTACGAATAGCTTTTGATATGGTGCTACTTCGATATTGAATTCCATGTTACAGCCGCCTGGTACTGGTGCTGTGAATAGCAACAATGAGAGAGAGAGAGAGGGGGAAAGAAAGAGAGAGAAAGAGAACAGGAGAGAGAACAGGAGAGAGAGAGAGAGAGAGAGAGAGAGAGAGAGAGAGAGAGGGAGAGAGAAACAGAGATATCTGTCGCTGCCAGATCGAACTTTACGAGCGTTGCTGTCGAGATTTGCGGGTGTCGATGCGGATTTGTTCGCGAAAAACGTACAACGTACGTTTTCTCGTGTTTCGAGAGTCCCTTTAGATAGTCTTGTTTTTATGCTTTTTGTTTTTTGCGAGTTTGCGAAAACATTATTTTACACGCCGCTATCGGATTAGGGAAAAGGGTTTGCAGTCGGTAAATTGTTGAGCAGTGTAACAGAGATTTTTGGAAATCATTCCTCTGCTTTCCTCTTTCTATCTCCCACCTTCTCCCTCCCTCTCTCTCTCTCTCTCTCTCTCTCTCGTGTTTCATTTCTTTTTTTTTTTCATTCATGTATTTAAAGGGATCAATTTTATTGTTACAACGTACGCAATTAAATCGTTTGAGCATCGGGTATAATTTGTGAACAAGTGATGAAAAAAAATAATTGGTTTTGTTTCTTTTTTGCTATATTAATAATGTCGAATATTAAGTAAATTTAGAAGGATGATGAAATACGTAATTTCGAAAATAAAGTCAAATATTACGAAAGAACAATTTGCTTTATATTGATCATTTGTAAAATCAATCAAAGGATATTATAATAATTCTAATATTAATATCGATTTATCATATTTATTTATATACTCACCTTGTTTGATATAAGGAACGACTGCCAACAGAGTTTCAATCTTTCGAACGTTATCATTTTTAATGAAAAACGTCGATTCTTTTTTCTTTGGTACGATATATAAACCGACGTTAGATCCAAATAGACTTCTGTTTGACACCTTATTAAGATTTAATTTATCATACGAAAGAGTAATATTATATTGATATGTGTGAACTTGAAAGATAAGAAATGAAACGATAGGTGGTATATCGATAATATTTATCGTATAATTACTTGTAGGAACTAACGTTATCCTTTTTTTAACAGCTTCGTTTTCTCGATAATTCAATAACGATATGGAGATTATATTATCATCTGTAAAATTTTATATGTTATTCTCCTATGATAAAAACAATGGTATTTCTTTATTAAATAATCGTTATAATATTGTAATAGATTTTATGTAATAAGAAAAATATGAGCCTTCTTACATTAACCCTAGTTGTACCTGTGGGGTATACAACACCCCAGATCAAATTTAAGCTGAATTAAAACAATTTACGCATTCCATGTTTCATGAATTTTTTTTTTTAAAATGACTAAATTGAAAATGCGTTTTCAAACCTACTGATTATTATTTCTGAGATTTATATGCAGTACTATTTTGGATCAAAGTTATTGATTTTGGATCCAAATTATTCATTTTGTATAAATGTTTAAAGTGTCTGGGGTGCATTCCAAATGCACAACTTCAAATTATTTTCAGATGTGCACAACTAGGATTAAAATAAACAACAGTTATATAAAAATAATAAAAAAGTGTGAAGTGAAAGAAACATTGGACAAATATATTTAATTGTAATTGATCATCAACGTCACTATGTTAATACTGTTAGATACTTTATTTTATTATAAAGTTTATAATTATACAGTTAATATACATGCATGGTTAATAGAGCAAATTTTAATAATTAGTAGCAGTTCAGTATCACTGGTTTAATAGATTGATAGTAAAAGATTAATATTATATACTTTCTGTTTATAAATGATACTTAAACTACATATGTACAATAAGAGACACATTCAGACATAACTTTGATATTTATATAAAAATATAAATATTTTCCAATGCATATAGAATTTATTTTAGGATAAAATCATTTTTGTCTTACTGTTATGATATTAGCTATTTAATTTTATCATATGAAGTACAACATGCTATTTACTTTCTCAAAGGTTAGGTAGAAGAAAGGAAGAGCAATACAGTTAGCTCCAAGATAGCTATATTTCCTTGTTTTGTTTTATATAGTGTACTGATCCTAATTTTATTTACTATTAGTGTACTAATCTTAATTTTACTATTGATTGTAACTTTACAATTATAAAGAATTTATTTTCTCTTATGTGTTCTAAGAACATGCCATCAACAAGCTTGTATTTCTCAAAAATTTTATATAGTATCTGTATTAAAGTATTTCAATGAATATTTTATTAAATTCTCATCTGACTTCCATAATAATACATAAACAAACATGATCTTAATAAGATACCATGTAAGTACATGACAAAATTAAAGAAATAACAATTCCCAAAATGCTTCCCAAGTTTTAAGAAAAAGAAATTTTCTTTTTCTTTGAGGAAAGGAAAAGAAAAACAGAGAAATCTTTTGGCATTAAATGAACAGAACGAATCGAAGAATCGGATGTTGATTTAAAAATAGAACATAATCTTTTAAATTTCCAAATCATGCTTACCAAAAGTTGATGGGGACGTGATAGTCTCTTGAGTTTGTTCACTAATTACGAGTAACCATAGTGAGATAAAAAAGGATCCAAGAACAACGTGCTTCATTGTATATTGATTAAGCCTCGTCGATAAAATGAAGAAACTTACAATATATAAAGATAATAAAATATTAAACACGTATAAACTTGATTCTTGTTGAAAGAACAGAAGAATTCAGCAATGGCTTTACAGCTGTCGTTTAATATTAGTTCGTTCGTTCGTTCGTTCGTTCGTTCGGGAGAATTCGTGTAGGATCGTAACCTGCGTCGTTTTCGTTTGCACGCTATCGTTCTCATTCTTTCTTTCACAGAGGACAACGCTCTTGCTTGCACCCACGTTCTTTGAGGTTCGTTCGTCGCACGTTCGTCGGCCGTCGGCGGCGATGGCGCTTCAAGCGCTGGCCGTAAGAAGGCGCCTCAGTCGCTTCGGCAAGATGGCCACGCTGGATCAATGAAACGCGAGTAATCGTAGTAAAAACAGAAATTGACAAGTGCGCGGTCGAATATCGAGGGCCGATTACGGTGTAAATGGAACATGGGGAAGGACCAGGAGCTGCTCGAGGCAGCGAGAAGCGGAAACGTCACTGTGGTCGAGAAGATACTCGGACAAAGAGCGAAGAGGAGTGGTCCACTGGCAAGGTGGGTGTCACCGTGCCAGACACTTTCGGCCTTTTTTCTCCCTCGACCTACTCCCCTCGTATCCTCGTCTAACGTATTTTTCCTATTTGTCCGATCATTTTAATAATGTTTTTAGCATCACCAAAGGCTCTCTTTTCTGGCAGATTATTACAACGTAAGATAGAAAGAGAGATCATATCGAGTCGTCCTTTCGACAGGACGAGAGAGCAATATTCTCTCTCTTTCTCTCTCTCTCTTTCTCTCTTTCAGCCTACTCACTCTGTACTCTCTATCTTTTACTCTACTATCCATCCATTTAAATGTCTGTCTGTTTCTTTCTATATCTTCTTTTAACATTCGTAAGAAAACTTGATTGTAATTTATAAGTATCATTTATCCTTTTTTCTTTGTTAATGCGAGCAATATGAAAAATTCTGTATTTCCTGTTCCCAAGTTTTTATAGCAAAGACTTTTGTGCAATAACGAGATCGAAAATCGAGGTTAGGTTATAGCGTTTTCAATGATTTGAGATGCTATCTTTTTCTTTCTATGTCTCTCTCTCTCTCTCTCTCTCTCTCTCTCTCTCTCTCTCACTCTGTCTCTCTGTCTCTTTCGCTCTGTCTGTCTGTCTGTCTCTCTCTCTCTCTCTCTCACTCTCTCTCTCTGTCTCTTTTGCTCTGTCTGTCTGTCTCTTTTGCTCTGTCTGTCTCTCTCTCTCACTCTCTCACTCTATCTCTCTGTCTCTTTTGCTCTGTCTGTCTGTCTCTCTCTCCCCTATCTCTCGTATATGTCTGTCTTTCTCTTTCTCACTGGTCGGGAGGCCGCTTCTCTTCTCCCTTTTGCGCGATAGGTTTACCCACGCTCGATTGATCGCGCGCCGTTCTTTCAATTAATCCGCTGCTTTCGTAAGAGCTTTCACGGAGGATCCGCTTCCGTCGTTTGTGCCTCCTACAAGATACCGATCGCCGTCCCGCTTTTCTCTTGCGATTCTTTTGACGCGGTTATTAGCTTAACTCGCACCTCGATGAACCTATTTTCTCGACTAACATACCGACGTTCAACACTGTTCGAAGATTCGAACGGAAGTAATTATAAAATACTCGAATTTTCTATCGTTAAATATATTTTTTTTTATAATTTAACTTAATTTAATTTAATTTAATTTAATTTAATTTAATTTAATTTAATTTAATTTAAAAACATGATCTTAAAATATTGTTACATATGATTAATTTTGATTCCTTATTTGATATCTTTTTTTTATTAATAATGTTAAATAATAACTTAGTTTTATACATATATGTTATTGTAAAATATCTAACACGAAAGATGTTTATTTATCTGAGACAATATAGAAAAATAATTTATTATATTATTAAAACGATAAGAAATAATCTTCCGCTTTGATAATATTATATCTTCATTTATGATAACTTATCGACGAAATACTTTTTTACGATTTCATTGAAAAGCCGAATGCCTTTTTTTTCACTCACAAGGAAGATGATTGCTATACATTCGTCTCGTCCGATGCATTCGAAAGACGAGAAGTATATATTTGGATCAACATCCTTTTTTCTTTCTTTCTTTCGATCGTGCTCCGACGTGTCTATTCGTGATTTCACCGTGACCATGAATCACCCTGAGCGCATACGGTATGACGATGCATGGAGATGCGTGTTAGATAGTAGAAACACTCGAGCTACCACGTACGACCTTAGAACCTCATTACCAATTATCTCGACTCTTACAATTACCCGAGATAGTTTAATTAGCTCTCATTATCCGTTAGAGTTCGATTTTCAACTTTCTCATATCTTAATTGTAAGCAGCATTATTTTTCTATGAAAATAATGTATGAAATTAATTTTTACGAAATTATTGAAATTCATTTATTATTTCTTTTGATATATTTTTTTTTTGACCATTGTTTCAAATACATAAAATAGAAATGACGTTTGTCAGCGTTTATTATTTTTGTTTTCTTTCGATTGTTTTATGAATAATTTGAAGAAAAATTATGTTCAATGTGTAAAAGTAATGATGTTAATATCACGAGATACGTGCACGTGTCTAAGTACTCGTCGTGAAAAGTTCATCGAGTCCACTACGTTTTCTATTCTCGGCGTCAGATAAATAGAGCCTATTCTTGCGTTCGAGCTATTTATTTTCAAGGGTCGATGATAACGTTAACTCGGGGTTGTGATAGATTCTAAAAGGAGAAAAGAGAACGGGTCATTTTGTGGTGTTGCGTCGTTCTGAGATTATGTACAATAAAAAAAAAAAGAAAAAAAAAAAAGAAAAAGGAAAAGAAAAAGAAGAAGGCAAAAAGAAATAAAAACAGGAAAAAGATGAAATGCACGCCACCGAACATTTCGATTTATATAAAGGAGCGTAATACGGTTTATTCGTATTACGTAAATGACGTTAAATTTTTTGTCTTCGTTCGCTGTGAAAGGACATGTTTCCAATTCTATTACTATCATCGTAATAGTGTTTTCTATCGTTATTCGTTCGATTACATCACATTAAAGTGGATATCAGAGTTTTATATGTTTCTTAAGTATATTGGTTTTTTTTCTCTCTCATATTTTTTCTCTGTTTTCTTTTTTTTTTTTTTTTTTTTTTGTACATCCATGATCAACGAAAGAGCTTTTTGTTGTAGAAAACGATAAGAATATCTGGTTCGATCGAGAAGAGAGAGATGAGAAAAGAAGAAAAAGATAAAGATATCTTTGCTATAAACAAAAGAACAAAAAAGATAGAATTCTTTTTTTTTTTAGCGTAGGCCAACGATAAACAATTAAGTGGAATAAAATGATCTCGATATCGGGATTTTAATATTCGTTAATAAAAATCAGAATGAATTTTAACGAATAATTGGCTCGAAATAGATCGCGCGTTATTATAAAGAGCAATTTTTGCGATATTTGCTCTGGTAAGTTTTCAATTTGGAACAATGTTACCGATTATAACCTTTTGTGCGATAAATCACGTTCCACGAAAGAGATGATCGTGTAGAATAATCGGTCTTTCAAACGATACCGAATCACCCGTCGGCAAATGAGCTATTCGTGGGTTGTTTAAAAAGCGTGCGTCTCATTAAAAACTTTTACGTTATAATGACTTATTACACCGGTTTGACGCGTAACGAATTAAATTATGTTATATCCGTTTTTTCTCCTCTCTTTTTTGTTCCAATTGGAACACGATCCGTCCGGAAATGAGTAATTCATTTTTTTTATTAAATAGTTTCATTAATTTCGTGAAAAAGAAATGAAAATGTCGTGATCTATATATCATTTCCCATATATTTTATATATTTATATAATATATATATATATATATATATATATATATATATATATATATGAGAAATGTATATAAAAAAAAGAATACAAAAGCAATCGGAGATTGTTTAGTTAAAAAATTTTCTGATCAAAATATTTAACGGATATTTTATTATAGACAGATACGAAAAATCATGAATTCATATTCACCGTGAAAAAACAATAATTTTTAATGTCCGCGAGTGTTTATTTACACGAATAAATATTGATTAGATTCGGATATAATTAAGAGAGTATAAATCATCACATTCACTCGATCGAGTATTGAACGAACTCGAATAAATTTGATCGTGGTGCTCTTCATTTTGTCTAATTACTTGGCCTCGGATCGTCGATCGTTTTGTTTCTCCATCGAGCAAGTAGCGCTCGCGCAATTAGTCGAAACACCGTCTTTATTGACCCAGTCCCGGGAGCTAACTCCCACCATCTCTATTCCTCTCTCTTGCTATTACCCTCAACGACAAAGACGACTTTGTCGATGGTGCTAACCCCACGTTTCGCATTAATTAAGTCACGCTACGGCTACTCATCGCGCCGCCGAGAATTCGTCATCTCTCTTTCTCTCTCTTACTCTCTTGAGTGAGCTTTCTATGTGCATGCACGTGGACCGGCGCGTTTTAAGGTCGATAATAAGTGCTCGTTTCTCTTAATCTGAGAATACACGAGATAGTAACGAGATATAGAATAAGAAATACTGAAATAAGAAATATTTATTCCTTATTAATTTCGCCCTATCAATTTTGATTCTTTTTTTTTTTCTTTTATTTTTTCTTTTATTTTTTTATTTTTCTTTTTTCTTTTCGATCCACGACATTATCGAAGTAACGCTTTCATTTGTAATTGTTTGCCTTCGAGAAATATTAGCTTTTTTTACATCGTTTCACGTTAACGAACATTCGATCGGTCATAGTGTGGACAATGACATTGGAACTGCAATTCCATTCTTTTTGTTCATTGATCGAACATATGCTGAAAATGCGATCGTAAATGATTTAGCGAGACCCGAAAGATCGTTGCTTTTATTACATTTATGTTTTAGTTTTCATTTATATTTACGTTCTCGAGCAGAATTTATAATTTCTTCGATTATTAAATTAAAATCGTTTTCTTGAAATCTTTTATTTGAAGATTTTTATTGAAGACAGAATAAAGAAATAATTATTTACTTAAATCGTTATTTATTTTTGTTTGTTTAATGCATTTAATTAAACTTTTTTTGAATTTATTCAATCTCCTCGTATACGTATATTTTTCTCTGTATTTAATCGTGACGTATTCGAGAGAGGATAGATAGATGAAGAGTAAAAGAAGAAGAAGAAGATTCAATGTCTGATTCAAAATGTCTCATGACAAACGCGTTCCTCCTCTTTAACAAATTGCCTCTCGTGCTCATCGTCGTCGGGTGGTGGAACTTGTCCATAACTACAAAGTGTGCCTGCGGCAAGTTTCTGGCAAAGCTACCATCCCTGCACCCTTATTCTCTCTTTCTGTCTCGCTCCATTTTCAGTATCAAGCGTTGCTCCTACTCCAGGCCATGTTGTCGTTGCTCCATATCGTACTTTGCACTTTTACCCTCCTCCTTCTCCTCTTCCGCCTCGAGATCAGAGGAAAGTAATATAAAATGCCGCACCCCGTGCGAAACCGTCGACCCCTTGCGACTTGCACCCGGAA